AAAGGTCCTAAGGAGCTGTGTAAAACCCCCCACAATATCTGCTTGGAACTGGTTTATCTGAGTCCACACTGCCATATATTCCAGTTCAAAGCCAAAAATGTGGGATTTTATTCAGCTGTGTGGAAGGGGCCTCAGTCCAAAGCTGATATTGTGGGATTTCTGCCTTGATATTCTGGGTTATATGACTGTGTGGAAGGGCCCTTTGTTTCTCCATATTCTGGCCTGATAATAGCCTCTTGATTTCAGTATAGGTTACACATCAAGACAATGCCATGTTGGGGCACATGCATTTCTTTAAGAGCAAGCCATCGTTTTTCATGATCATGCTTCTGGCAGAGCTATAGTCAAAATATAGGGTTTGCTATTATTCATAGTTTCAGTAATTCATGGGTGTTTGCGCATGTCTTGGAATGTAACCCTTGTGGATACAAGGGTCAAACAATGTTGAGAGAGAAAGAGATGTGTGTGTCTGTTTCATTATGGGCCCTTCCACACAGCCCTATATCCCAGTATATTAAGCCAGAAAATCCCACATTATCTGAGTGTGGACTCAGATAACCCAGTTCAAAGCAGATATTGTGGGATTTTTCTGCCTTGATATTCTGGGATATAGAGCTGTGCGCAGAAGGGCCCTATGACAATAAAGGAAAGTATCCTTTGGCAACTTCAATATATTTCAGCAAAAGCACACTTAAGTATTGCCACGATACCTTTATGAAGCCAACCAAAAGGTACAAAATATGTAACACAAGCTGTCAAATCAGATGGAAAATCAGATGGAAGAAATGTGATTGTGTCAGAGTCATGGGATTGAGTCTTGTTTGAAATGTTTACCTAAGGTGGTCATGAAGGAGAGCTGATTTAGAAAAGTCTCCAAACTCTTCTTGGTCATGCAGCAAATACGGGTAAAGAAAGTAAAAGTCAGGTAACAATGTTGACATATTAATTAGGAACACAATTGTGCTCCATTAGCAGCACCTTTGAAGAACTAGCTCTGTCTTGTGTAAGGCTGCAAGCTACTTTGTAAACCTTGAGTCCTTCAAGAATCCAGGGGTGCACCTACAGTACAGAATTAATACAGCTCGACACCACTTTAGCTGCCATGGCTAAATACTTGGGAATCTTGGGAGATTTTGGAATGAGAAGGCTATAAAACCTATAAGTCCCAAGAGTCCATAGCATTTTTTTTCCTATTAGGAGCGACTTGGTGTGAGAGAATTGGCCGTCTGGAGGACATTGCCCAGGGGAGGCCTGGATGTTTTTGATGTTATACCATCTTTGTGGGAGGCTTCTCTCATGTCCCCGCATGGGGAGCTGGAGCTGACAGAGGAAGCTCATCCGCACTCTCCCCGGATTCGAACCATCAACCTGTTGGTCATCGGTCCTGCTGGCACAAAGGTTTAACCCACTGTGCTACCGGGAGCTCCTCCATAGCATTTATCGGACAATCTAGATTCACCTCCAATCTCTGAAAGTATGGGTAAAATATTTTTATCTTTTCGGCTGGCCTAATAAGGGTATAACCGCAGAATGTATTTTGCAATTTTTGTTGTTTTGCTGCAGGGTCCAAATTACTACTATTTCAGCATAAGCTTCCATGGCCTCAAGTACACATTTACAGAGATACCACATATTTACAACAGGTAGGAGAGCCAGTGTGTGGTAATGATTAGATTTGGATTTGAACTGAAGAGACCTGGGGTCAAAGTCCCCAACTGTGCAAGACATGGAGCCAGCAAGACACACCCAGACCCACCTACCTATTGCAAGAGCATAGTGTAACTTTAGACCATCCATACTGCAGAATTATAACCGTGCAACACTTTGACTGCTATTGCTCCATTCTATAAATCCCAGGAATTGTGGTTTATTGAGGCACCCAAGCTCTCCGACTCGGGGTGCATCTCATTACAATGTAGTTTGATATCACTTTAACCACCATGTCTCAAGCCATAGAAAACTGGGAGATATAATTCAGTGAGGCACCAGCACTCTTTGCCAGTGAAAGTTGAAGACCTTGTAAAACTACAACTCCCAGGATTTCATAGCATCCAGCCATAGGAGCTTAAGCGAAGTCAAAACTGCATACATTCTAGAGTGTAGATGCACTACACTAAGAGAAGGGTAAATAGTAATATCTCACAAAAGTACAAATCCCAAAATTCTGTAGTACGGAGCCATGACAGTTAATGTGGTGTCAAACTATTATTATTGCTATTAATAATAGTTTGACACTACATTAACTATTATTATTATTACTGGAGCCTCTGGAGGTGCAATGGGTTAAACCCATGTGCTGGCAGGACTGCTGACTGAAAGGTTGGTGGTTCAAATCCAGGGAGTGGGGTGAGCTCCCATCTGTCAGTTCCAGCGTCTCATGTGGTGACATGAGAGAAGCCTCCCACAGGATGGTAAAACATCCAAGTGTCCCCTTGGCAACATCCTTGCAGATGGCCAATTCTCTAACAACAGAAGCGACTTGCAGTTTTTCAAGTTGCTCCTGACACAAAAAAAAATTATTACTACTATGGTTATTATTATGTTTATTTATGCCCTGCTTTATCTCTCCCAAAGGAGACTTAAAGCGGCTTACATGAAAAATGTGACCTCACAATTTAAAATATACTAATATGCAAACATTCACAGAATTAAACATAACAGCAGTAAAAATACTACTACGATTGCTGTTGTAATATTTATTTGCACCCTGCTTTTCTCTCTTGATCAAGACTCAAAGCAGCTAAAATTACTATAATTACTATAATATAAAATTACTATAATACTCTTGTCTTCTCTGCCCAAGAGTGCTGGTGCCTCACCAAAAGACACCTCCCAAGATTCCAGGGCCTTGAAACATGGCAGTTCAAGTGGTGTAAAACTGTATTCATTCCACAGATGTACGCAGAGAAGGGAAAATATCTAATCAATGCATAACTCCCATGTTTCCGGAGCCTGAGCCATGGCATGTCAAAGCATTGTCAAACTGCATTCATTCCACAATGAGGATGCACCTCGCTGGACCAATCCTAGAGCTATGAAACAAAACAGGTGCATGCTGAGTTTGAGTTTTTCTCCCAAATTCTGATCTTCCAGGTATTTTGGACTTCAGCTCCCAGAATCTCTGATCATAACATAAGCCAAAGCTTTGGGGGAGATGGTCCAAAACATCTGGAATTCTAGAGTTCGGGAATCCCTGGTGTAGTACTTAGGCAATCCCTTGTAGCCCAAGGGTGATGGTCCTCCAAGTCCAGTGTCTTGGCGGTGAGTCCATAGGTGGCTGTGGAGACCTATTATTGATCCGCATGTTCTCCTGCAGCGAGGACATCGGTTTCCAGGTGGAAGGTGGTCCCGGTCGGGGTTGGCTTGATGTGCCTTCCTCTTGGCACATTTCTCCCTTTCACCCTCCAATCATGACTTTTCGAATTCTGCAGCACTGCTGGTCACAGCTGACCTCCAGTTAGAGTGTTCAAGGTCCATGGCTTTCCCAGCTCTTGATGTCTATGGCACAGTTTTTAAGGTTGGCTTTAAGCCTTTCCTTTGTTCCCTCTTTCCTCCCTCCTTCCCTCTCTCCTTCTTTCTCCTTCCTTCCCTTTTGTCTTTCCTTTACCCTTCCTTCATTTTTGTATTTCCTTCTCCTTTCTTTTATCATTCCCTTCCTTCATCCACCCTTTCATCTTTCCTTCTATTTTGTTTTTCCTTCCTTCCATCTTTCCCCCTCCTTCCCTCGCTCTCTTTCTCTTTCCATCCTTCCCTTCTACCCTTTCAGCCTTCCTTCCTTCCCTTTCTCCTTCCTTCCTTCCATTTGTCTTTCCTTTATCCTTCCCTTCCACCCTTTCATCCTTCCATGTTGTCTTTCCTTCCCTCTTTCCTCCCTCCTTCCCCCTCTCTTTCTCCCTCCATCCTTACTTTCTACCCTTTCATCCTTCCTTCCCTTTTGTCTTTCCTTCTCTCTTTCCTTTATCCATCCCTCCCTTCATCCTTCCCTTCCACCCTTTCATCCTTCCTTCCATGTTGTCTTCCCTCTCCTTCCATCTTTCCCTTCTCTCTTCCTTCCCTCTTTCTCCTTCTTCCCCTCCCTTTTGTCTTCCCTTCTTTTTCCTTTATCCTTCCCTTCCACCCTTCCTTCCATGTTGTCTTTCCTTCCTTCCCTCTTTCCTCCCTTCTTCCCCCTCCATCCTTACCTTCTACCCTTTCATCCTTCCTTCCTTCTGCCTTTCCTTTATACATCCCTTCCTTCATCCTTCCCTTCCATCCTTTCATCGTTCCTTCCATGTTGTCTTACCTTCCTTCCCTTCTACCCTTTCCTCCTTCCTTCTTTCTCCTCCTCCCTTCTTTTTCCTTTATCCTTCCCTTCCCCCTTCCTTCCATGTTGTCTTTCCTTCCTTCCCTCTTTCCTCCCTCCTTCCCCCTCCCTCTTTCTCCCTCCATCCTTACCTTCTACCCTTTCATCCTTCCTTCCTTCCCTTTTGTCTTTCTCTCTCTCTTTCCTTTATCCATCCCTTCCTTCATCCTTCCCTTCTACCCTTTCATCCTTCCTTCCATGTTGTCTTTCCTTCCGTCCCTCTTTCTCCCTCCATCCTTCCCTTTTACCCTTTCATCCTTCCTTCCCTCTTTCTCTTTCTTTCCTTCCCTTTTGTCTTCCCTTCTCTTTCCTTTATCCTTCCCTTCCATCCTTTCATCCTTCTTTTCATGTTGTCTTTCCTTCCTTCCCTCTTTCCTCTCTCCTTCCCTCTTTCTTTTTCCACCCTTCCTCCTTTCCGTCCTTCCCTTCCTTCTCTCTTTCCTTCCCTCCCTTCCTTCCGTCACCGGGCAGCCAGTCCTCGGAGCAGGGAGTGCTWGTATGCGGCCCCCAAGTTACAAAGTTTGCCCCTGCCTGTGCTATTGTAGCTACATCGTGGTGATGGCACCCTGCAGCATTCAGAAAAATAACAAGGTGGAAAGGCAGGCCCGAGTTCCACGTGATGGGCGTGGAAAGGAAGAGAGAAAGAAAGAAAAAGGGAGAGAGAGAGGGAGTGAGTGAGTCCCTCGCGCGCGGAGCAATGGATGCCTGGGTGGCAACAAAGAGCTAGTGTCCTGGTTTCGCCTGGCCGCTGAATCGGAGCCTTTGAGGGAGGAGGCAGCCGCGGGGTTTAGTGGCGGTGCCCAAGGGAGGCAGGCAGGCAGGCAGGCAGGGACAAGCCTCCTGCGAGACTGGCACCACGCAGCCGCCTTCCCTCCCTCCTTTCCTCCCGTCGCCCTCGCCGCCAGAGAGAAAACAGCCGAGCCCCAGGAAGCGCCCCACTCGGGTCCCACGCGCGTCTGCCCCACCATGTGGCAGAGGCAGTATGTGACGGCCCAGCAGTTGGCCGGATTCCGACATTACAAGGTAAGGGGTTGTCTCCAAGCGGGGGGAAGAGAGAGAAAGTGGGGAGGAGGGGGCAAAGACACGTGTTGCCAGCTTCGCCCCTCCCTGCCTTTGGATGCATCTCCCTTGTAGCATGGAGGCACTTGGGCACCCTGGCTCTCTCTCTCTGCAACTGGATCCCTGGAGTTGGAGGGCGCATCCGAAAACTGTAGCATTCCTGCACTTTTGACGCTGCTCGAACTGCCATGCCTTAAGGCTATGGAACCACTGGGAGTTGTAGTTCGCTGAGGCGCCCACACTCTTGGGCGAGAGACCTTGTCAAGAGACAGCGCCCAGGAGGCTGGAGCCTTGAGTCAGGGCAGTCTAAGCAGTGGGTTGTTCTAGGGCAGGCGTGGGCAAACTTGAGCCCTCCAGGTGTTAGGAATTGTGGGAGTTGAAGTCCAAAACACCTGGAGGGCCCAAGTTTGCCCACACCTGTTCTAGGCTTTTCGGGCTGTATGGCCATGTTCTAGAAGTATTCTCTCCTGACGTTTCACCTGCATGTATGACAGGCATCCTCAGAGGTTGTGAGCTCTGCCATAGATGCAGGCGAAATGTCAGGAGAGAATGCTTCTAGAACATGGCCATATAGTCCAAAAAACCTACAACACCTCAAGAACCTTCCACACAGCCATATAATCCAGAATATCAAGGCAGAACATCCCACAATATCTGCTTTGAACTGGGTTATCTGAGTCCACATACAGTTCAAAGCAGATAATGTGAGATTTTATACAGCTGTGTGGAAGGGAGCCCAGTGATTCCAGCCATGAAAACCTTCAACAATACATAGTTCAAGCAGTGTCCAAGCTGCATGATTGATTTCTACCACATAGATCCGGCATGCTTTATTTGTTTATTTATATTTATTTAAAGCATTAATATCCCGCCCTTCTTACTCTGAAGGGAACTCATATATATGGTAAATATTCAATGCCAGAATAAAACAAACTATAAATATACACAAATATTAAAATATTTATGTATATTCTGGACTTCAACTCCCACAATTCCTAGTTGAAGTTTGCCATGCCTGTGTAGATGCACCCATTATTTGGTGGTGCCCCAGCACTCTTTGGTCTGAGAAGGTTGAAGGCCTTGTGTAACTCAACTCCCAGGATTCCATAGCATTGAGCCATTCGGGGTCAAACTGCATGCATTCTACAGTGTAGGTTAGTGTTTCTCAACCTGGGGGACCGCCCCCTGGTGGGGGTCGCAAAAGTGTGTCAGAGGGATCACCAAAGACCATCAGAAAACACAGTATTTTCTGTTGGTCATGGGGGTTCTGTGTGGGAAGTTTGTCCCAATTTTATCGTTGGTGGGGTTCAGAATGCCCTTTGATTGTAGGTGAACTATAAATCCCAGTAACTACAACTCCCAAATGGCAAGGTCTATTTTCCCCAAACTCCACCAGTGTTCACATTTGGGCATATTGGATATTCGTGCCAAGTTTGGTCTAGATCCATCATAGTTTGAGTCCACAGTGCTCTTTGGGTGTAGATAAACTACAACTCCAAAACTCAAGGTAACTGCCCACCATACCCTTCCAGTATTTTCTGTTGGTCATGGGAGTTCTGTGTGTGCCAAGTTTGGTTTAATTCCATTGTTGGTGGAGTTCAGAATGCTCTTTAATTTTAGGTGAACTATACACCCCAACAACTACAAATCCCAAATAACAAAATCAATCCCCCCCCCCTCCTCAACCCCACTAGTATACAAATTTGGGCGTATTGAGTATTTGTGCCAAACTTGGTCCAGCGAATGAAAATACATTCTGCATATCAGATTTTACATTACAATTCATAACAGTAGCAAAATTATAGTTACGAAGTAACACTGAAAATAATGTTATGGTTGGGGGTCACCAAAACATGAGAATTGTATTAAGGGGTCGTAGCATTAGGAAGGTTGTGAACCACTGGTGTAGGTGCAACCTTTGGAAAACTAAATGCTGCCTGCTTGTGTTTTGGATATGTGTGTTTTTGAAAAGCGCTTTACAAGCTCCTGGCTGCAATTAGGGTTACTGGTCTGGTTTCCCACCATTACCACCTGCATCCCTCAAACCAAACTTCATACCCTCCAGGTGTTTTGGACTTCAACTTCCAGAAATCCCAGCTAGCTTACCAGGTGTTAGGAAGTGCGAAAGTTTAAAACACCTGTAGAATTCAATCACTTTGACACCACTTTTTCCAGTTTGTTTGCTCTGAAATCTAGCTTACAGATTTTGGGATTCATCAGCATTTCCCATTCGAATACTAGCTAAGGATACATCTACACTATGACTGCCCTTGTTCAGTGCTGTACAGTCCTGGGGGCTGTATTTTGACAAAATCTTCCGCCTTCTCTACTAAAGAGTGCTAGTGCCTATCTAAACCAGAACTCCCTCGATTCCACAGTATTAGGCCTTGGCCAAGCTACATTAATTCTACAGTCCAGGCATACTCTATGCTTAGGGCAACTGGATTGACTTCTTACCACCACCATCACTCACGTCCATCAATTGAAGGGATACACAATCCATGCAGTTTGACGTCACTTTAACTGCCATAGCTCAGTGTTATAGAATCCCGGGGACTGTAGTTTTACAAAGTCTTCCGCCTTTTCTGCCAAAGAGTGCTGGTGTCTCTTTAAACTATGGCTCCCTTGATTCCAAAGCATATGGCCATGGCAGTTAAAGTGCTGTTAATTCTATGATGTAGATGCACCCAATGAAGAATTAGGTCCCATTATGGACCAAGAACAAAGTAAAGCTCCCTCCTGTTCCCCAACACAAGACCCTCCAGTTCCCATCACCACTTTTGCTTGGTTCCTTGGGCAACTGTGGTCTTTAAGGGAAATGACTGGTGTGTACTTTGTTTCTATTTTTGCAAGTATTCGAGAGCCATAGATAGAGTAGTAATGTGAATGTCTGCAAGAAAGCCTGGCTTTTGTAAAGTGTCTGTTAAAATCTAGACAACAAAGTTGGGGTTTGAACAGGTTCCCTTTTTTTATAAACAACCTCTGCCCTATGTCTTTCTATCAGTAAATCACAACTATGCATCTTTATTGTTTTTCTGTATTGTTTTCTGTTCTTGTTTGTGGGACCATTTGACTCTATAGATTTTATTTATTTATACATCACCATTCTCCCAGTATGGTACCCAAGGCTGCATACACACATTTTAAAAAAGCACACAACAAGGAACATGAAAGGCACTGCAGGCTACTTCAACCAGAGAAGTCAGCCATAGCAGAGCACCTGATGAACCAACCTGGACACAGCATATTATCTGAGAACACAGAAATGCTGGACCACTCTAACAACCACTATGTCAGACTACACAGAGAAAGCATTGAAATTCACAAGCATCTGGACCATTTCAACAGAAAGGAGGAAACCATGAAAATGAACAAAATCTGGCTACCAGAATTTAAAAAACTCTAAAATTATAACAGTAAAACAACACTCAAACACAGGGGAACTCCAGACAGGAAACAATCAGGGACAGCTAATCACTTCTCAACAAAAGAGTTCCCCAGGCATTAACAAGCCACACTAAGCACTGCCAGGCCATCAAATGCTAATCAAGGTGGCCAATTGAAACATTTACACCTAGCTTCAACAGACAAGAGTTCTTTCACCCACCCTGGACATTCCACAGATATATCAACCCCATTTTCCTAGTTTCCAACAAACCTCACAACCTCTGAGGATGCCTGCCATAGATACAGGTAAACATCAGGAGAGAATGCTTCTTGAACATGGCCATATAGCCCAAAAAACGTACAACAACCAAGCACACTACAGTCAAAAACCTTTCAGTACAAAAGTTAAAATAAAATTACAGCCATCATTCCACATTTGCAGCTTTGACTTTTGTGGATTTGGTTATTCATGGTTCTCTCTAGAAATCTCTAGGTCCTACAGTACGATTCTGTGCTCAGTTTCCAAAAGTTAGCCAAGAAGTTCTGGTGGAAGGCTTAGAAATTCCTAGAGAGTTTTTATGTCAGATAGAAAAAAAGGAAGTTTCTTTATTAGCAGTTTTTCACTTTCACAGGGGTCCTGTGCCCTCAGCCCCAGTGAATGTGGAGGGCTGGTTGTATGTATCTGTACATGGTGTTGCTTTGAACTTCTGTTCTTAGGGTGTTTTGAACTTCCATCCCAGGATCCCTGCCAATTGGCCTCCTGAATGGGGCTTCTGGATATGCAGCCCAAACATCCATGTGTCCCGAGATGGTCTGTCCTTGACCTAAAAGATGCAGCAATTTACAACCTGAGGCTGAAACTTTATGTATGTTACCTTGGAAGTGAATCCCCTGGAATAAAGTGATTTTTAAAAGTGAAACAGTGGGCATCACAATCTATTTAGTTGACATGTAACTGGCATTTTAATTTCTGTACCTTAAAATGCAAGTGAGTATTTTTTGGGCATAAGCAATTTTGAGCTTGGTGATAAGTATGAAAACTGCCAGCAGGAGTTCAGTTGGCAGAATATTGGATAGAAAATAAATGAATGGGTGTGTGCCTGTATTTGAAAAGGGGTTAGGCGAGATTCTCAGGTTCTTTCAGTTTCGTTCTCAAGGCATAAATGTCTGGTTTTAAAATATTTTTATTACAAGTTTTTATGAGGAAGAATGAAGGGTGCACAACGAGAAGGCAGCTTTTACAAGCTCATAGGTGTTGCTATTGGCATGTTTCAGGGAGTCATAGAGTAAAAAACTACTTCACTAATGTTGAAGCAAATTAGATATTTGTCGGAAGGAGAATGGGGACAATGTCCTCTTCATTTTTTAATTGTCTTCAAGTTTTACATTATCTATATAAATAAAAATGTAATGTTCATGTTTGGGATTAACATAACTCAAAAACCACTGGATGAATTGACACCAAATTTGGACACAATACACCTATCAGGCCAACGAGTGACCATCATTCATAAAAACACTGAAAAACACAGTAGAAGAGACTTAAAAAGGCAACCCCCCCCAAAAAAAATTACATT